AAAAATATAAAAAAATTTAGAGTGGGAGTGATGATTAAATGTAGTATATTTTATTTTTTAATATTAAAATATAAGCATTTATATAACATTTATATAACATTTATATTTTTCTCTACAAGTACTCTTCTAAAAAATTTTACCAAACACTCTTAGCTTTTCAAAAACAGCACTTCTATCAAAAGCTCCAGCCACACCAAACGGACTCTCACTTCAGTTCATAAGTAGAGTTTCAAACTCATTTTTTTTTTTTTTAGATATTAATTTAATATTATATTTTTTTCTGTTAAAAAAAAAAACAAAAAAAACAAAACTCAAGCAAGGGAGTACATTGTTGGAAAAAATCTAGATGGGAAGTTCCTACCACCTCCACGCAGAGTTATAATCAATGGGCAGAAAATAATCGTTTCCAAATTGGTGTTTAACAAGTTCCTATGTAAGTCTTTAGTTGTACCCCTTTTCTCTTTTTGTAGTATCCTTGTTGTTTAATGTTCAAGGCTTCTAATTCTTGCATTTCTATTGATATCAGGTATACTTACAATGTAAAATATATCACAAGAGAATTGAGATGCTTTGATGAACTAAATGGACAATTACCTTAATATTAAAAAGCTATTCTTCTAATAATTTTTATTTTATATCTCTATCAAATTTTTATTTTATATCTCTATCAAATTTTTATTTTATCATATAATTGATATTGTAAAATAAGTAACTTTGTAAAAGATTAATTAACTATATACAATAAATTTTAGTTTTTAAATATAATATAGTTAATATAAAAAAATAAAAACTAAAACTAAAACCATATCACCCGGCTGAGGCTGAATTGTAATTGTTGCGATTGCAAAGACTTTTGTTATATGTTTAAATATGCTAAAATGGCATGTTACCTTAAGGAAACATGCCATTTTACTATTTGTTTGGAGGAAGCTTCCTCCAGACAAATAATAAAAAATGAATCATGGGGTGCAAACTAGCTACTTGCTCAAATACATTGAATACCCACAACTTAGATTTCCTAAATAAATATTTCGCATAATATATTTAGTATTTAAGCCTTAAGATTAATGTCTAAAAAAATTAATTTTTTAATGTACTAAACCCACTTTAGGGATGCATTTTTAAGATTACTCGTTGTAGAATTGATTTAGAAATACATGAAAATTAGTGCAAAAAAAAAATCTAACTATCCAAAAAAAAAAATTCAATCTACGATTATATTATATATAGGGTTTCTTGTTTTTACAATTTTACACCGTTTGAATTATATACAATATAGTTTCTCCTTCTATTTCTATATACAAAGAAAAAGACCCAAGTGCCTTATTTTTTAATAATTATTAAAAAAATATTTTAAAACTATATTATTTTAATAAATTTTTATTGAAAACTAAAATATCATATTTTAAAAGTATAAATTAGATTTTTTTTTTTATCTTTTCACATGATATATGTTTTATTAAAATAACATACTTTTAAGGTAATTTTTTTAATTTAAAAGATAAGATTATCTATTATCAAATTAATTAA